CTTTTTGGGGCTGTGGAAAAGCCCTTTTTTTTTTTTTTTTTTTTTTCCCCTCAGAACGAGATTGAAGCATTCCATCCTCTGCATTCTCCTCACCGTCGATTCTGGGTCCTGGTGACATCGAGTCACGACTCACCCACGGCACGCACCACCGCCTGCACCTGCGCCACTCGCGCTGTCCGCTGCGAGCGCCCTCAAAGCCCCTCGTTCGCCACGACGTTCTGGATTGTGCAACCACATGCGCGCCCTTGCATCCCATCTCCAGCCGCAACGAACCAGGCAATCGCCCATCCAGGTGCTGAAGCCGACACCAAGTTGCTGGCCATCACAAGAACGCCAACCCCAAGCCGGGTTGGACCGACAACTGGTGAGGACGGCCATCTGCGAATTGCAAACGGCTTTGCTCCTTCCTCTGCTGAAAGACGCATCCTACCACCTTGGCATTTGCCTCATGCATGCGCTGCATCATGCATGTCCATCGTGCGCTTGCATCTTGTCTCATCTCATTTTGTCCTCGCACTGCCGGCTCGCAAACTCGCTGTTACCTTCTACAGTCACTTCCCTCTTTCTTCCCGCACGACAACTCCCAAAAGCCGGGTCTGGACCCCGTCTTGACTTGTTCTCCCTGTTCAAGCATCCCACTTATCCCTTAGACATCAATTCGATCCCTACCGAGCCTTGAAGCCGGTTACCCGGCCCTCGCGCGCCTCCCGTATGCATCTTTAGACGTATATTACTCAACTGCCTATGTCCTATGTCCTATGCCTCTGTTTCTTTCCTGTCACGATTTTTTCCTACTTTACTGTCACCACAATTCCTAATTTACCATCCGGCAATCCTTGTCCGCCGGCTTCCTCCGTCCAATGCCATTCCTGCGAGCCCGGCTGAAACTATCTTCTATCCCGAATGCCGTACAACGCATATATTTCGCCCTCTGAGGTCCGCCATTCTTTCTTCGGCCATAAAGCTTACAATATTTCCAGCATCCCGCTCGCCGCGCGGCGCGTACGCGAAGACCGGGCCGTGAATATCTCCCTTGAAGACGTTTGACATTATGTCATCTACCTCAGAAGACTTAAAGGGAACTACCTCCCCTTGGAAACGACTATTCGGGGCGAGAGGTAGCGACAGTAGCAAACAAGAGAAGCGAGTGTCTGGTCACTCGAAATGGAGTTTTGGTGTGCTCAATGATAAGCAGACCGTCGAGGTTCCAGGTAAGAATGCCTTCTACTAGTATCTCCGCTGTTTTTTTTTGTTTCAAAAATAATAATTTACACTTGCTGATGCCCATAATCAGGCTCTGTTTTACTCCTGGCCGCTAACCGCAATGAGCCTCTTGGTCTGCGTGATGTGCATGCCAGGACCTCTCATTCATCTATTCCAACGGGATTTTTTGTTGACATGCCATTGACCCCAGGAGGGTCACGTCTTGTCATACAGACTCCAGCTGCTACGAAACATGTTGATCCAAATGAAGGCAAGAAGAAAACACAGGATGGTGCCATTATTCTCGATCCTCAACCCGAGGACTCCGTCAACGACCCGTTGAACTGGCCTAGCTGGCGACGAGATACTGCCTTGTTGTCACTGGGCTTTTACTGCATGATTGGCGGTGGCATTACCTCCATCATGGCTGCTGGTTTTACCAACATTGCCCATGATATGGATGTCGAAGTCGAAACCGTGTCTCTCACGGTCGGTCTATACATGATGGGCCTTGGTGTAGGCTCGGTTTTGGCTTCTCCAACCGCCATCCTTTTTGGCAAGCGACCTGTATATCTCGCTAGTGTCATTCTCTTTATTGCAACATGCGTTTGGGGAGGCTACTCTCCCGGCTTCCCTTCTCTGCTCGCAGCCAGAGTATTTCAAGGAATAGCCATCAGCCCCGTGGAGTGCCTTCCTTCGGCTACAATTGCAGAGATTTTCTTTCTCCATGAGCGAGCCTATCGTATCGGCATCTACACATTGTTACTATTAGGCGGAAAGAACTTGATTCCTCTTGTGAGCGCTGCCATCATTGGACGGTATGGATGGCGCTGGGTGTTCTTGTACGTCTCCCCTCAACCAACCATAAGTTTGCTTTTTCTTTGTGCTCTGGATCTGCCTCCGACTTTTGATTGACAAATTTTGAAGTATCGTCGCAATGGTAGCTGGTCTGGGCTTCGTTCTGCTCTTCCTTTTCGTACCCGAAACCTTCTGGGATCGCACACCCACGCGGAAACCCTCAAAACGCCCCAGCTTTCTTCGCCGTCTTTCTTCGCGTAGGAACGTATATAGCCCTCACCAATCGACCCAATCTGCGAGAGACTCAAAGACTCTCGAAAGGCCTCAGTCACCCGGTGCAGAGACTCGTCAGAGGGGACTCCATGTCGGCTTCGCATCTGAACCGCCCACAGCTGGTGAATCTCAACACCACGGTGAAGGCAATACAAGTCATCTGCACCCTGATTCCGCCGACCACCATGTTGAAAACACTACATCCAGGGAGACTGAACAGCAACATATCATGTACCTTCCAGATTTGCCAGGCAACGTGCAAGGTCAGATGCCTTCCATCACGGTGTCAGCATCCCGTGAGAAGTCAGAAGATATCGAAGCAGAGGCCAACCAGGTGGATACAAATGTACCACTTGTACACGTGTCTGACGAGCACCATGTAATGGATGGAGCAAGCTCCGTGCATAGCCCAATTCGATCACCAAGGGCCATCCTTCGCCAGTCTCACAGCGGACCAGGCGGGCACTCACCGTACCTCCAGAGTGCGAACGGAAGTGGTTCCAATGTAGATTATTTCTCACAAGGCCCGAATCTTGATAATGAAAGAATTCCTGCGTCGGCACTCAGGGCGCCACCTAGGATAAAGGCGTATACGCATAACTTGCGACAACAGCCTGCCCAAACGTTTACACAGCAGCTGAAACCCTACCACGGCCGGCTCAACAACGACAGGTGGTTGAAAGTTATGATCCGTCCATTCATCTTGTTTTCTTATCCGGCCGTTTTGTGGTCTGCTGCGGTATACGCCTGCTCAATTGGTTGGTTAATCGTTATTTCAGAGACAATGGCCGTTATCTACCGAGACCCTGCGAGTTACAACTTTGGTGCGCTCCAAACCGGTCTTGTGTATGTATCTCCATTTGTTGGCGGTGTCCTTGGCACAGGCGTCGCAGGGAAAATTAGTGATTTGATTGTCCGAGCCATGTCTCGTCGTAATGGCGGTATGTACGAACCTGAGTTCCGACTGGTGATGGCCATTCCCATTATGCTCACAACCTGCATTGGTCTCATGGGCTTCGGCTGGTCTGCTCAAGAGAAAGACCATTGGATGATCCCAACTGCTTTCTTCGGCATACTTTCGTTTGGTTGCTCTCTAGGATCTACGACGGCCATCACGTTTTGCGTCGATAGCTATCGTCAGTACGCAGGAGAGGCGCTGGTAACGCTCAATTTTTCCAAGAATGTCTTGCACGGTCTTGTTTTCAGTCTGTTTGTGAGCCACTGGATGGCCAAGGAAGGGCCGAAGCAAGTCTACATGTGGTTGGGAATCGTCCAACTCCTCATTCAGCTCACCACGATCCCCTTATTCATATTTGGCAAGAGGGCTCGTATGTGGACAGTGAGAATGAACCTCATGGAGAAGTTCTGAGCGAAGCCAAGCGTTTCCAGAGTCATTTAACGTGTGTGGAATAGAGGACATTGCATCATATTATTTCGGCAAGCGTATTTCAAGGTGACAGCATCTTGGTGCAAAGGAATATGGAGCCGATATGGGGCTTGGGAATATAGATTTTGGTGGCCTTTTGTCTTGTTGGAGTCAAATCGGATATCATCTGTTTTTGCCGGGCTGTTCATCTGTAATTGGCATTTCTTCGTTGTATTGGTTTTTCTGGGCGTCGCGGTTTTCGTGGAGAACTACACTCTGCATTTGGTTAGACTAGATGTTTCGGATAGCATGATGGCAGAGCATATGAATATTATTTATTAGACATATCATGCGTAATGCACGCTGGGAGTCCCCGCTACGAACAAATAAATCGTGGAGTCTCATATTCATGTTGGCGAGCACAAGTCGGCAGTGGAAGTGGGTGTGGGTAAAAAGCGCCCCACCTCGAGTCTCAACCACCTTCTCCCCATCTCACCTCACATCGTAGCTCTTCATCCACAACCGTCACCCTAATTTGAAAGCCATCGTGCTGTTCTTTCACTTAGCCAACTAAGTCGCATTTTCACGCCGTCTTTCTGCTCACAGGATCATTGTAATAAGAGGGCCAACTTTTTGCTTCCCCAGCCAAATCACATTTCCAAACTCGAAGAGTCCAGTCCGCATGGCCTCTACAGCATCGACCAAGATCCCGCCCTTACTAGAGCCGTATCTCAATTTACCTCCTGAAGCGGCCCTTGTAGTTCTTACCAGTGTACTGGGAGCCAGCGCAAACTGGCTCGTTCTGAGATGGGTGTATGCTCTGCTGAGGAATGGGCATCAGGTTGGTGACGACGCAGACACTACGGCCGTTGTGTTGTGTAGCTTTTTAAGGGATGGCGCATTCTGGAGAGAGGGAGCTGGCAAAATGGTATTTATTTATTTATTTATTTTCTGCCAATTCTACCCCAATGACGTATTGCGGTTGCTTGTCGACCGTGGTAGGTTGCAATCGGAATGAATGACGCTAATTACGGTCATAGGGTCTGGACCTGAATGCCGTGAACAGAAGCAGGAGATTCATCTTTGTCGACGGGCTTACAGGCTTGTATGTGCCCAATGGGGAACCTTCTACGGGTGGCGGAAAGGACCACGTCCTACGTGGTGGGAGGATAGATGATGTGAAAAAAGGAGTTGAGAAGGCTATTACCGAGATTTCCAAGGAGGGGAGGAAGATTGTTCTTGTGGTGGACGGGATGGATGCGTGGTTGGCGATGGGAGGTGTCGGTGCATTGGGAGCAGTGAATGTGTTGAATTCATGGAGAGAGGTGAGTTTACATTCATCCCTTTGCCGTATTTACCACGGGAGATTGTTGTCGAGGAAACCACCGAGGTGAAGCTAACTCTACATAGAGAGTTCACGCTACTGTAGTGGCCATTTCAGCAGACGACCCCCTTCTTCACGTGCAGAACACGACGCTAGAAAAGGACCACGCGGCATTTGCGTTGAGTCTCGCACATGAAGCGAGAATAGTTATGGCACTGCGCTTGCTAGACACAGGGACGGCGAGGGATGTCAGTGGTGTGGTGAGGGTGACCGGCGGTGGCAAAACCGACGAGGATGAGGCTGGGAAAGGGGAGGGTGAGTTTCTGTATTTCGTGGCTGGGGATGGCGGCGTTAAGGTATTTGAGAGGGGGGCGTGATTCTCGAAGATGAATTGGATATTTGCGAGGGCGGTGATGTACGTGAAGATGAAGACTTGTTGACAGGACGCTTCCTGGCAGCCGGACTTGGAGAGGCGCGCGTCACGCTATAGCGCAACTTGCCCCTTGAAGAACCACTTGGTACGTATTAGGATAATCCTGATTCTCAGCTCTCTTTGCTACTTGCCCAAAGATGTCATATTCAAACATAATACGTCAACATTTCCGCATACTCAGGCGCTGGGTCTCGACAGCCCCTCAAGGTTTCCCCATCCAGCACGTTTTCCTCTTAGTCTAGAATGCATGAGTCTCGGTCGTATAATACAACTAATACGAAACTAGATTCTTCCGATGATGCGTGCGAAATTACACTTTAAATAAACAAATATGCATCATTGCTCTCAGCATAAAATGTATATATAAACGGTACATGTCAGCTCATTGCCCCCCTTTTTTACCTTGACCATTGTTACTCAAACCTACTTCTCCCCATCCAATCCCCCCCTCCCTTCAAAAAAGGTATGAAGGCCATTGTTGCCCTCTCGGCCCTCGTGGCCGTTCAAGCAGCCAAAACGACGCCCAGTCCTACGACGTTGGAAAACGGCGAAGTCGTGTCGCCGGTCGAGACGTGTGACGAGTCATGCAAGGCCTCCTTTGCCAGGCCCAGCGAACACGTCAAAACCATAAGATCCAAGTTCAAGACCAAGACCAAGACCACGACGGGCTCGGCCAGTTCCGAGCCGGTCTTGTACACGGCCCTGGACTTGGGACCCGGAACAGCGTTCCCGCCATACGTCACCTCGCCGGATTGCACCCAGACAAAGACGGTCGTTGGGGCGACGCACCCGGCCGTGGTGGCACCCCTTTCAACTACTAGCCAGACCAAGGGCAAGGGCAAGAACAAGAGCAACAAGACGGGACACAGCGAGACACCATCACCAACAGCACCACTCGAGGGGGAACATGCCAGCACCGTCACCAACGTGCTCTGGCAAGATTGCGGGACTTGTGCGCTGTACTGGACAACGGCCGAGTCCACGTATGTTCCTCGTGTCACGGTGGCCAACCCCACGGATTACACTTATACAATCACCCAAGTGAGCTGCCTGACTATCGCTCGGCCTGAGAGCACCGAGGTCACGTTGACAGAGTTGTCTGAGCCTACCGAGGCTGCATCGACGGAGCTGCCTGAGCCATCGACCACGGATTGAGCGAGTGGCTTTTTTCTACTGCGGGCTTTGCGCGGCATGTCTATAGGACTTGCTCCAGTGGTGATTTGGGGGGATGTTATTTCGCTTGAGTAGTCCGAGGGCTCGAGTTTACTGGTATTTTTAACCAAATTGAAGAATTATACCCTTGCTTTGGCCCCTCCTGATTACTGCCCGTGTCTCCATGTATCGCGTCCACAAGACGAGTAGAATAGTGTTTTTCGGCGCAAGAGTATGCCGGGTTGTAGTCGGGGAAACCTCCCCAGAAGCAGAGTTGTTTATATAACAACACATGACCAGCATATCCATCCAGATGGTGGTGATGACGCAAAGTGCAAAGGGCTCCCAAAGTATAAGCTTGACCGGGGGGTTGGTTGGAATAGCCATCTCGCTCAATCTTACCAAGTAGCGTTCTACATGATATCATTTATGCGGAGTCTCGGAGTCTCGTGGCTTGGTTTCACAAAGGGGCTACAAGGCGACGTCTACGGGGACGAGCAGTTTGCAGGTTATGATGACGGCACCGACCTCGTTTAGCATTATATAGCCCCGTAGCCGTAAACTTGTGAACAACAACTCCCATGAGGCTCTGCTGGGAGTCCTGCCGTGAGTGCTTCGACCCTCTCTATTCCGTGTCCCCCTTTTCATCCTGTGGCTTGTTTGGGGCGGGGGGTGCATCGAGACATTTTATGACGGCGCCGTATTGCGGAGTTGTGTCTTGTTCGGAACGCATCGTGTCGTCAGCCGTAGCGGAAACATTGGCCAAGGGGATTTATGCTTGAAATTTTCACGCGTGGGGTTAAAGATACGCGTCTAGTTGTTTTTGTGATGAGGCCCGAGGCTTTGTTCCGTCGTGCCCTGTTCATCAACTCGCAATTCTCGTTGATACGACCCCGCCAGTCACGATCTCGTGCTCTCTGGCCATGGCCCCCAGCCACGATTTACAGAGACCGCATGTGTCGTGGTATTTGCTGTTGGTGGATATGGTTTCATTCCGCGAAACTTGGGTGGAAAACCTATTTTGCTTCCCGTTTTAAGCTGGTGTGGTTGCGCTAGGATACTACGAGGCACGATGACGCTGGTTTTGCTGGATGGGGGAGAAACGCGGTTTAGTGCCGAACACGGGGACTCTGTCTGACTCTCCTGATACGATGATACGAGCCGTGTCTTGTAGCGCGGTGCGATGGACATGAACGTCAGTGGCCTCGTGGGCACTCGATTTTTTTTTTTTTTTCCTTAGTGATGGGCTACGCTGTGCTTCATCTCGGGGTACGAGGCGTTTTCAAGACTCGATTGCCAACTGCGCCATTTCGTATCCCTGAGGAGCTAGTCGTGCCTTGGGCGGTGTTTCCAGCACCCGCGACCGCGTTACAAGCGTGGTTGTGCTTTTTGCGTCGGGGGCCAAGATGGCAGTTTCGTCGGTTGTTGTCCTTGATGTGACAAGGATGCGGACAAGGGTTCTGGTTGTTGCAGTTTGCAAGAAGAAAAGGACTGTTCTTCTGCGAGAAATAAACATGCGCATGGAAACATCACCTAGATACGGCAACCCCGGGCAGACATACTCGCAGCACACACACATGGCCCAACCCCTTGCCCTGGGCGGGCATGCAGACCATCGCGAAGCAGGCGTATGGAAATCCCTTGTTTATTTTACTCTTCTCTCAAAAAGGGCACAAAGCAAAGGGAATTCCCCATGCCAAATACGTTTCAAGAAAACACCGTGGTCCCATGCTCCAAGCCCACCACCACCTTTGAGAAAATTTTCCGCAAAACCCCCCAGCACGAAATGACCGCTTGCAACAAGAGTCAATTCAGTACGTAGGGACCCCCTCCTCCATCTTCACACCAAAAGAGTACGACAACAGCGCGTGACCAAGATGTCGTCTCCGGAACAGGATCAAGTCCGACTCTCCTCCCCCCCCTTATTCTCGTCCTCAATGCAAAAACTGCTTCAGTGGTTTCCCTTTTTTTCATGATAGGCCTCCCAAATGTCTTTGTAACCTCTTCCTCAAAGTTTTCACGTTGGTTTCGTCAAGTCGTGAAAAAATTGTTCATGTGTTGTTTGATTGGGGCGATGGTTGACAGGTTGTTTTGGTTTACTCCGACTTGGTGGTAGGGCCGCGAGCGCCCTTAGGAGTGCCGCTTCGGAAGCCGTTCTTGAATCGGCGAGAGACGTCCTTGAGGTAGCGGCAGCGGCCGGTGCCAACGGTCTTTCTTCGCTTGGCCTTCTCGCCCCAGTTGTCTATTTGTCGAGTTAGCAAATTTTGTGTGTCTCCCTTTTTCTTGATTTCCTTGCCGCTCATGGTCATTTGACGCAAAATACCCATTGAGGATTCAACCGGGCTGGGGAGTCTGCTCGTGGGACCAAAGAGGGAGCGAATAAACGTACACTTGCGAGTCTTGGCGGAAGGGTAGCCGCAAGAAGAGCACTCATGCTTCTGGATGTGCAAGGAGCGGCGACCTACGAATCAACCCAGTTAGCTTTCAATGTCTGCTGTTGATCTGACACTTTCCCGACCGAATCCAACGTTGTTGCCGAGCGTGGGGTTGGACTCCTAATCTCGTCCTCGTCGATCCCCTTCTCCTGGCGGTGTCTCGATAATTCCCCCTCTTTCCGGTCTCTTGGGCAGTTTCTTGAGAGAGCAGAAACATAACATCAAGGCATCACTAACCGCATCGTCGGCACAAGGTGTGCGTCTTGTTGTGACGTTTACCGAAACTGGAGGTACCCTTCGCTACATGACGCAAAACCCGTTAGCACATTGCAAGCAGTCCAACGTCGTAGTCGTAGCACTTCATCACTTCGTTCTTTTCGTGGCAAGAAGGAGAGACTGAACGCTACATCAGCAGCTGGCGGGGAGCAGAAACGTACTCATTTTGGCGGTGGTGGTTTGACCTGTGGTTAGTGACGATCGAGGAAATTCTCGAATTGGAAGAGAGGCCTTTTTCGGTGGAGTGTCGAATTGCGAGAATCTGAGCGCTGGGGCTGCTGCTTAGCCCTAATTTGCCGTGGTGCGCGCACAATAATCCGCTTCGTGAGGCGTGGTGGGATTGCCAGCTAGTCATGTGACGATACCCTGAGTGACCGCACGTGACTTCACCCTTAGATTTTGGGGGATAAACTCGGGCTGGTGGCTTCAACTGATCCACCAAGAGGCCGACAAATGTGGCCCCTTGGCTTCCCCAAAGGTAGTACATTGAATTGATAGAATTCTACACGACGTTCCTTGTTCATCCATCCAAAAGTATCCTTTTATATGCTACGCCGTACTTCCCACTGGCTACTGCGCTCACCATCACACGCCATACCACCTTAGGTACCTAGTGACGTACGTACGTATACAGAGCTTCGCGTTTACCACGTAATCACTTTTCGCACCTTCGCTTTTTATGCAATTCATTCATGAGGTATCTCTGCAAAGGCTGTGCTTCCGCAAGCCGTAACAACTGTTACATCCAATGTGAACCAAGCCTCCCATGTTCCTGAACGCCGTTCCCATCCAAAATCCAAAGTCATACACGTATAAAGTATCTGCAAGAATGTTCAAAATGAGAATACGAAATCCACGAAAAGTGGCCTCCTCCAGGCGTTAATGCAGATTTTGCGTGCTCGCTCGCGTTTTCGTCATTCATTTAACCGAAACATGTTTCTAAAATTTGAATGCTCCCCTTCGTCATCTTCATCTGCACTCAACTGTCTCTCTTGGTTTAAGGGAAGACTGCAGGTCCGAAAAATTCGCCAGGTGCTACACGCTTCGCAATTGCCTGGGCATTCCAGTCAAGGGTTTCTGTCATTCCATCGTTCCCCCACCATGCTGGAGCCCTTGCGTTGGTCAGATACAAGGTGAAGAAAATGAGGAGGGTGCTGATGATGAGACCGCAATCCAGGGCTGCAGAAACAATGTAGTTGTATTGCAGCCACCAGCCGGTATAGCGGCGCTTAACAAAGTAGTTGAACATGATGCCGACCACACCCCAGCAGAGGAAAATGTGGACAGTAGCAGGAGGCAGTAATCCAGTGCCGCCGTAGATGACGGGAGTGCAGACGTATCTCCAAAAAGATCTGGGCCATCGTCTAGCAAGAAGCCAAGTCAGAATAGGCGTGGCAGCACCAACCAGCCAGAACCACTGCAGGTTCGCATAGGTAGCGCCATGACTGAAAATCCGCGCTGGTCCAATGGCACCCCAAATCACCGACGCGGTATAGTACACATGTCCGCTAGGGCAAGTATAGCTATCCTTTTGATTCTCGGCGCAGATATTGGGGATTTTCGCCAAGGCCCAGTTCATAACTCCAATTTGAATAATGGCGGACCAAATCGATGCGATCAGCTGTGACGAAAACATGACCCGGGGCGGCACCTTCATATAATGGCCGAGTTTGAGATCTTGAGCAAAGTACAACGCCTGAGACATGGAAGTGTAACCATAGTTCTTGAACATCATCATCGTCGTGGGTTTACCGGGAACCATGTAACCGATGATAAACTCGGTCAAGACGTTCAGACCAATCTGGATGTTGGAGATACCCTGGATCAGACCAATAGGGATGAGCCAAATGATGGGGAGAACGAGGCAGACGACAAACGCCCAGGCAGGAAAACCAGTTGGCCACCCAGTGACGACGCCGAAAGAAATGCCAACCATGACAATGAACAAAGCTAGAAAAAAAACTGGTAAGCGTTTGCTCTACACAAAAACTAATGTTTTGCGCTTCCAAGGATGACTATGAAACACTTACCAGCATACCACCAATCCTCAGCATCACGATATTTCTTCATTAAGCGCATGTGGACATCGTCTTCTTGATGGCGCGCCATTCTAAACTGTCTCCAAATCTCTTTACCGTGGTACAAAGCAACATGAACCAGTACCGCGGACATGGCAGCAAAGTTCATACCATATGCCATGGCAAACTGCGTAGACAGGTACAGAGGAGAGTATTCCTTGTAAGCAGTCTCGTTGAAGTTGAAGTTGGCATCCAGGATGCGAGACACGTTATAAGGCGCTCCAGTGTTGTCGTAGGATGTTGAGGACTGGACAGGCATGTAGTCGGCGTACCAGGTACCACTAAAGTGAATACCCATGGAGACGATGACGAAAAAGAAAATGATGCCTCCCAGTACGTTGACAATAGCGTAGAAAGGCGGAATGAGAGGCGATCCAATGAAGCCAGTGGCAACTGTCCAGTCAAAAGTAATGGGGATAAGACCGTATCCGTGATTGTTGCCAAATATCTTGTTGACAATGACACTGTTGGGTGCGATCCAGCAGGCAATGGCGAAGTATGACAGGCCCCTGAAAATCCAACCAGGGAACCAATACCAAGTGAACGCTGCACAGCCAACGATGAGGAAGAGCTTGTAGCGACCGATCGTCCAACCGTTGGTTTTGGAGGGATCCGATCGTGAATGGTCGTGCAGGGTGTAGAACAAGGCGCAGTTGACCAGGTCGGCAGGCCAAATCATGGCCGCGGGCCAGACAAGGAAACGACGAGCCAAGCCAGCCATTCCGTAGCCAGTGCACAATGTTGTGATGCCAAAAAGAAGCTGAAAAGCAACGCCAAATTCCTGCTTGTAGAAGACTTTCTGCGTGAGTAGGACATCAGTAGCGTACAGAGCACCACCACCATACGCAGCCTATCAAGTCGTTAGTACTTGAGATACATCCCGAGGAGTTGCCAGAATTGCTGGTGGCAAAGGGGCTGGGCCAACGGTAACCTACGTTGGACATGGCAACAATGACAACATGTTCCTTGAAATTGAACTTGCCCGGTCGCAGGTTAAACTTGACGCCGCACACATTCCACACCCTGTCGGGGAAAATCATGTCCCATCCGCGACCGATGGGATATGCAACCAGCTGGACAATATAGGTAGTAATGACAACTGTAGGATTCCGCAAGGAGAAGAGCATGTTGACACCAGAGCCGACGGTACAGAGCAGTAAGCCGATGACCCATGCTCGTATCGTGTTGGCAGGGACATCTACGTCGTAATTCCTCACTACGGCCCGGACCTATAGACATTGGAAAGCGTGTCAGGTGTTATACTCTCAACTGAGCTCAATGGCATTCCAATCGGTTCGAGCTCCCATGCGCAAGATTGATGATGACAGGAAAGCAAGCCATGCATTGTTTATCTCCTGGGCAATGGACTTATCACATGGTCGCTCATATGATTCCTCGCCAGTCGCGAGGGGACCGAGGGGAAGATCAAAGAGGAAGATACACACCTCTGGATATGGGCTATTATCCTCCATGAGCGCATGCTCAATCTCGAGGCCCTTCTCGGCATTGCCAGTAGCAAGAGCGGCATCGACGTCGTTCAACTCGTCCATGGGCAGATTCGGATCTAACTTGTGCGCCTTTTCGAAGGCTGCCAGGTGCTTGAGCTGATCCACGCCCGAGGAATTGCCCTCCAAGGGTTCGGGGATGGGCATGATCTCCTCGACCTCATGGCGCTTGCGGAAAATTGAGAGCGGCATGGTGATTTTCTAATGTGTCCTCCCAACGGAGTGACAACGACCAGACCGATTGTTGTCGTCGAGCCCGAGTCGCAAGACGGGTTGATGTAGCTCGGGTCCCTTGGTCTTGGTGTTGACTGCCTGCTGTTGTTTTATTTTATGTTGTGTTCTCTTGGCCCTTTTTGATATTCGCCGTCGTCTGTCCCCGGGCCTTGAGAACAGAGTCGAAGAACAACCGTCTGTCTTGTGGTCGTGATTGCGCTACAAGAGACCGGGCGCGCACAGGCAGATAGACATCTGGGGAGAGGGGTGGGTAAAATGGAGAGAGAACAACGGGCGTTGAGCGGGCTTGGTGGGCTCATGGACAAGTACATAAAGTACTCAACGGGACGAAAGAAGGCCAGTCGATGGTTTTCCACCCCTGGTTCTTTTGTTCTGGTGGCAGCGATAGGACGAAAGGACAATGGAGCAAGGCGTCTGGTGGTGCAGCGTTGTCTTTGGTCTCCGCCTCCAGCCTCCCTCCAGCTTCCATGCCCGTTTCTCTCGTCTCGTCTTGCCGGCACCCCGGGCTGGGTTAGTACTAACTTACTGTAGTAGATAGTGCATGCACACAGTCATACTGTGCAAGCACGCACCGTCATGCAATGGAGCAATGGACGGTGCGGCAGCAGGAAGGAATTTCAGAAAGCAAAACCAGTCAAGTCAAGTCCCAATTGCGCGACTCGACTCACTCCTGAAGGTGCCATTTTGTGTGGAGGCGGTACCCGCATCTCGCTAAGTAGCACGACTGCTGGGAACAAGATGCTGGCGGCGTCTCTTCGTCCCAGATCAAAGCAGGCAGGTTGGCAGGCAAATTACCCATCAGTGCGTGTGTTTCGAGACAGACGATCCCTTTCCGCCCGATATTGTATGCTCCCCCTTAGTACGGAGTAAATGTACATACTGGATTTGTTCTGTTGTACTCGGTAGGACGAAATGATTTTGGGCCATGATCGATTGCCGAGGACAGATGGCATCCATTGCTGGCCCCATCCACACTGTGTGCTCATGCCAAGACCAGAGGCCAAGGGCACACGCATCACAAAAGGCCGCGGTCCAGCTGCCCCAGACCCAGATAATCATTCAACTTGATGCTTTCCATGCAACGGCTGGTCCGGGGTTCGCTCCCAGCTGTGCGTGTGCATGTGCCATTTTGGCCAGTTAGACGTCTAATCAGGGCTTGTACGGAGTAGTTGCGGTTAGTTACAGGTCGTTGCAGGCCACTACCTACTAGGTAGGTGTGTAGCCATGGCAGGCCCATTGCTGACCCTCGCTAGCTGCCATTGGCCAGTCTCGCATCTTTTGGCTTGCCCCATGCCCATTCCACCTTCCTGAAAAGGCATGGTAGTGGCTCGCTTCCCCCTGCGCTTCC